CAATCCCAAACATCTCAGACAGCACCAGCCCCTGGCTGAGCCCCGGGACGTGAGGCACCACTGGGGCAAGGATACAGCTGCAAGAGGAGCTCCAACAGCTTGAATCCACGGCAGCCAGCACTGAGCCACGAGTCAGCTGGAATCATCTCCTGTGCAGGGCTTGATGCTGCCACCCCCTGCTTCCCCCTGTTCCCCGTCCCACAAGCACGTCCCCACGGGCAGTTTCAGCGCTTTATTGTCTGGCGGTCCTGCTGCAGCACCCCGCTGTCCTCCCCGTGGCCACGGCTGCAGGGGGGGAGCCACCCCCTCGTCCCCAGCGTGGCACCGCAGTGTCCCTGGGAGCTGGAGGCTGCAGGAGCTGCAGCAGTCCGAGAACTGGCACTTAAGGAATCCTGGCTGGGGCCACATGCTGCTCCTCTGCCGGGCACGGGGAGGGCGTGTGGCCAGGCATGGCTGTGGTCCGGTCCCCACTGGGCTGGGTCACTCCACTTCGGGCATTTTTTAAAAACGTGGTTCAAAAACGCCACCGGTTCTGGGCTGTGACCAGGTGCTCGCAGCTTCGTTTCTCTTATAAAGAAACCAAACACATCCTTTTCTTCCCTTTTATGAGCAGTTCTCGATTTTGGCCAGAAATTGCTGTGCCCACCACTCCTCCAGGTCGATGGGAACAAAGTCTGAAAAAGAGGGAGAGAAGGGAGCAGCTGGAGCAGGAGCACAAAATATCCTGAGCTGAAAGGGACCCACAGGGATCATCCAGTCCAGCTCCTGGCCCTGCACAGACACCCCAACAACCCCACCCTGTCCATCCCTGGCAGTGCTGTCCAAACACTCCTGGAGCTCTGGCAGCCTCGGGGCTGTGCCCATTCTCTGGGGAGCCTGGGCAGTGCCAGCACCTCTGGGGGAAGAACCTTTCCCTGAGACCAAATCTAATGACACCCCCAGCTCTCCTCCACCCCTGTGCCACGTCCCCAAAAGGCCACACTGGCTTACAGGGACATTTTCTTCCTTGGGGAGCTCTCAGCCACTGTGAGAGCCTGCAGGCTGCTGTCACTGCCCTGACTTCCAGGTGCCACCAGACAAGTGTTGTCCCCGTGCCCAACTGGTCCTGCTGGCCCCAGGAGAAGCAGGTCCCCATGGGGAGCTCCTCTCTCTCCAGCATGATGCTGAACCCCTTGGTACCAGGAGAAGCCCTGAATCCCAGAGGAGTCAGCAACACAGTGGCACATCCAAGGGACACAAAGGGACATCCCCACCACAGTGCCTGGGACCAGCTGTCTCCCCCCAGCACCCCCAGAGTGACCTCAGCACCAGCAGGACAGACCCAGCCAGCCCCTCTGGCACATCCAGCACTGGAATCCTCCTCCTCCTTCTACCACAGCCCTGTTCAGCTGCAGGCTGAGCTGACAGCCACTCACTGCACCCCGAGCCTGATGACCCCACAGTGCCACAACCACTGCCCTCTCACCTTTGAGTCCGGGGTTGGGGGTTTTCTCCACGTACTGCACGGGGCCGCAGGCGCTCTCCCCGCTCCGGCTGCCGTCCAGCTGCTGCTCTACCTGCTGCCAGGCTGGGGAGGGGGAACAAGCACGGGGTGGGCTTGGGACAGGGGTTCCCAGCGTGGGGGGCTGTGGGACAGGAGCAGAAGGCCGAGCAAAGGAGGGCAAGTCCCCAGGCTGGGGACTCCATGCCTGCCACTGACATCCCCAGCACAGTGCAGGTGATGGGGAGGGGACTCCATCTGCTCCAGCTCCCCTGGGTGCTGCCCCAGGGCCCCTCTGCCCTCACCTTCATAGACAAAACGGACGTTCTCTTCGTGGGCCAGGGTGTAACATTCTTCAGGGGCCGAGATCTGCTGCAGCAGCAGTGGGGGCCTCTTGCCATTCACTCTGTTGAAGACGAGTTTTGGCGCTGGGCTGTGGAGGGAGGGAAGCAAAGAGGGGGTGAGGGCACAGGGATCTCTGCCCACCCCAGCAAGAACTGGGGTGGTTCAGGTGTCCTGGTTGCCCTGCAGGGCACACACTCGCCCGCAGCTGCAGCCACCCAGCCCTCTCCCCAAGGACTGGGATGGAAAGGGGCCCAGCCCCCAGGGATAGGGGATTCTGACACAGGAACGGTGTAGGGGAACTCCCTGGGGAAAAGCACCAGCTGCCCATCTCCCACCCATCCTCCAACCTAGCACCAAGTGTGGTCCTTAAGATAGAGAATCTGCCACCAAAATTGCAGTAATATCAGGGAATGGAAGTGAAATCCAGTTAGGTACTGGACAGGGGATGTGCCATCCTCTGCAGATCAAGCATCCAGGTTCACTGGAACAGCTCTGGGCCCAGGATGTCCCCAGGGTGCCCCAGGACTGGGATGTAACACTCTGCACAGTGGGAGCAGGTCAGACTTCCTCAGAGCTGGGATCCCTTCTGGTGAGGGATCCCAGAATCAACCACCCCCTGTCTGGATGCAGGAACACCCACCAGAGATAAAGGAAAAGCTTGGGATGAGACTTGGCAGCATGTTCAATGCAAAACTCCAGCATTTTGACTTTTCTGCCCAGCTCTATGGCAGGACACCTCTGCAACAGCCACGTTCCTCATGGGACAAAGTCTAAGGGGCCCTAGGAGTGAGTTTGGAGGGCAGGAGAGACTGGGAACAGGCAGCTTCTGCAGATCTGCAGGCAGGGTCTGGGGAGGGCAGTGACCCTCAAGCCCTCCCAGCCAGGGGCACCGGGCAGGTAGGAGGAGGGCAAGCGTGGCAGAAGCATCCAGTAAATTCCAGGGACCGTGGGAAGGAGAGGAACTGGGGGGGCTCATCCATTTTTTGGAGCTGGAAAGAAGGTGCAGAACCAGCGGGGTCCCACTGCCCTTTCTGGGTGTGCTTTGACTCCAGCTCTCCAGCCGGGAAAGGGTCTCCTTAGGGGTCCCATCGCCATCTCCCAGCCACCGGAACACCCAACTGCACCCAGCCAACAGCTCCAGGCACTGCCGCTCAACGCTGGAATTCACCCACAAAGTGTCACCTCGGCTTTCAGGACAGAGGGGATCTCCAGCTCCGCGTGGGCTCCGCGGCCCCCGTGGGTGCCCGGCCAAGGCTGGCGGTCACGCCGGCCCCGCCGCCGCTTTGTGCAATCGGGGCCGTCCGCGGGGGGGTTGGACGAGCCCGACCTCGGCTCTGCCCCGCACCGGGACCCCCCGCGCCCCCCTGGCGAGACCCCACCGCTCCTCTCCCCGCGATT